ACTATTTTTCAATCCCACCAGCGATGTCTGAGAGGTTCAATTCTTTCTGCATCCTAACCAACATTTGTTATTGTCTGTCTTTTTTATTATCGCCATCTTGTGGGTATAAAGTATCTCATTAGCATCTTGATTTGAATTTCCTTCATGATGACAATGTTAAGCATCTTTTCATTTGCTTATTGACCAATTGTATATCTTCTTTGGAGAAGTATCTGTTCAAATCCTTTGCTCACCTTTTAATTGAGTTGGTTTTTTATGTGTTGTAATATTTCATTATATATTCTGGATATAAGTCCTTTAATGATTTGCAAATATTTTCTCCCATTCTGTGAATTGTCTTTTACCTTTCTTGGTGGTGTACTTTGCATAGATGTTTCTAATTTTGGTGAAGTCCATTTGATCTATTTTTTTTTTTTTTTTATTTAATTGTGTTTTGGGTGTCCTAAGAAATCACTGCCTATGGTAAGGTTTTCTCCTATTTTTTTTTTCTAAGAGTTTTATAGTTTTTACTCTTATATGTAGGTGCTTGATCCATTTTTAGTTCATTTTTATGTATAGTATGAGGTAGGCATCCAACTTCACTTTTTTGCATGTGGATATCCAGTTATCAGCTACTAGTTGTTGACTTCTCAATGTTAAGCATCTTTTCATGTGCATTGACCAATTGTTTATCTTCCTTGGAGAAATATCTACTTAAATCTTTTGCCCACTTTTGGAGTTGTGTTTTTAAGAGTTGTAAGATTTTGATTTGTATTTCCTTACTGATGATATGCCAGGTGCTATTCTAGATTCTGAGGAAACAGAAGTAAATGGGACGTAGCATACCTGTTGCTTCTCAGGGAGCTTACCCTCACGGGTGAGGGTGGAGATCACATATAAATAGAAAACAACCAGAGTGAAATAATGTGTGTGCGATGCCTAACACTGTGCCTGGCCCCCGGAGTGTGCATAGCAAAAGGTAGCTTCAATAATAATAATAACAGCTATCATTGTTATTATAAATGCCAGTACAGAGATGTGTGCAAAGTGCTGTGGCAGGAGGGAGTGACTTGCGCTTGTCTCAAGATTGGCTTCACATAGGGCCACCCCCCCGGCACCTCTGGGGCCCAGGAAGGGAGTAGGGGAGGTGCAGGCATAAGGCTCTAAAAGACCAACCTTTCATGAGTGTGTGTGGTATGTGTGTCATGGAAACAGCTGGTTTTCTTGTCTCTGTGAGTGTCAACTCCGAATAAGGATTGTGATTGGCAATTCCCATCCCGGTCTGTACGTAAGAAGAAATGGCTTCCTTCATTTGTTTGTAGAAGATCTTGACAGGCTTTGGAGGGAAGCTCAGAGGCCGAGAGTAAATAATAAAATGTTTCTAAATAGCTTACCTGGGCACATTATCTTAAATATGATATAATTAGAACTGAAAGTCTCTGTTCCTTGGGGATAACACAGTGTGTCCTCAAACTGAACTTTCAGAGTATACAGCAATGGCGGTTTTTCATGTGGAAATTATCGTGCTCTGCAAAATATCAAAAACTGTTCATTTAATTTCATCATATGAACAAATTATCTTAGTGGTAGGGAGTGTGGCTGTATTATATGTGTTCCAGGGTTCACATTACAAAAAAAAATCCAATTATAGGAAACAATTTTAAGAAATCACTTTTCCAAGGCTTTTCATTATACTAGTCATTTGTTTTGTCATCTGCTAGTACATGTTAGCAGAAAAGTGAGAATCAGTGCCATAAGTTAAGAAAAAGGTGTTAGAAATGAAAAACTTTAAATTGAGCACATTCTAACAATTAATATAATCTATTTTAAGCTACAAAGTACTTTGGCCCAACTGGGTAGGATGTAGTTGTTTCCAGGAAGGATAATTTTAGAATCACTGATTCAGGATTTAAATTTTAATTTAAACATACTATTATATTTTATCAAAAAATAAAGGCTTTCTTTAGTATCCAGTTTTAATATCACTTATTGTATAAATTATGAGTTTTTATTCAGCCTTTGGTTCATCAGGCACTGATTGGCTGTCCGATATATGGAGGGAACCTTATTTAAGTATATGATCCTTTGTTCTAAAGTAGTTCATGATCTGAGGAGGAAATGCTGTCTAGTGTAGGACACATACATTGCTAGTTACAGGAAGTAGCAATTTGTGATAAATGCTGAAATAGAGAGGTTGGTTCAGATTCAGAGTGGGGTAGATCTGGGGGAGCTTTCTTGGAGAGCTGGTACCTGGGCTAGAGCTCAAAGTTGGCGGTAGGGGAGATGGCGGCAATGGGGAAGAGAAATCGAGGAAGTGGTAGTAACCTGGTACACATGGAGTGTAGAATGATTGGGGGATGTAGCAGCGCACACAGTTAGACAGGGAAGAGCCATATTGTGGAATCTTGATGATATTATACCAAACTAATGAGCCTGGACTTGATTCTGTAAGCAGTAGGGAGCCATAGAGGGTTTTTGAGGAGAGCTGTAACATAATCAGATCAGTACAGAAGTAGGCTGAAGGTTAGGTTGAAGGTGGGGAAGAAATTAGAGACCATTCTTGGGTGATACGAATGCCATCTTTCCAATTTCGTTTTAGTTTAAAAACTCCAAGGGGTAGCTATCTTATGATTTCAGATATTTGATACAGAAGTTTATTTACGTTTTATTGGTTAATTATGCCTCCTGCGAACTGATGACTCCTCTTGACTGATATTTTTTAGCAATGGCCAAGGAAGAGTTTATAAAGGGTACTAATAAAGCATGAACTTGCTTTTTATTGTTTTCCATAATAACATCTGAGTCAGTACCCCCAGATTTTCTCCTTAAATGTCTCTGAGCCAAGGAAAAGAACCAACCAGATTTTCATTTTAGAAAAAGGACCAGGAGGCCGGGCACGGTTGCTCACGCCTGTAATCCCAGCACTTTGAGAGGCCAAGGTGGGCAGATAACGAGGTCAGGAGATCGAGACCATCCTAGCTAACACAGTGAAACCCCATCTCTACTAAAAATACAAAAAATTAGCTGGGCGCGGTGGCAGGCACCTGTAGTCCCAGCTACTCAGGAGGCTGAGGCAGGAGAATGGCGTGAACCTGGGAGATGGAGCTTGCAGTGAGCCGAGATCGCACCACTACACTCCAGCCTGGGCGACTAAGACTTCACCTCAAAAAAAAAAAAAAAAAAAAGAGAGAGAGAGAGAAAGGACCAGGAAATGTGTCTATACAGCAGAAGAAAACAAACTGATATGAAGCAGGACTGTTAGACAAAACTTCAGTCCCCAGGTTAGTACTGTACCTAGTTACCTGGGTTTGCAATCCAGCTCTGCTCTTACAGGCTGTGTAACTTCAGACACGCCACTTAACCAATATGTGCCTCTGTTCTGTTATCTGTAAAATGTGGAGAATAGCACTTACCTCAGTGGTTGTTATGAGAATTAAATAGATGAATTTAGAGTTCTCTGGCACATAGTAAGACCTCAATAAATGGAAACTATTATTATTCAGTCATCAGTCAATAAAAATGAAGTCTGCGAAGTCTCTGCCAGTGACATCTTGTAGTTTATAGTCTTTTCACATATTCACTAGGCCATTGGAGCTCCACAATCACCTTATAGGTCCTGATTATTCAAGCTACCATTGCTACTGACAAACTACCCCAAAACTTAGAGCCATAAAACAACAACTATTTTATTATGCTCACAGATTCTGTGAGTCAGGAATTCCAAAGAAGTACAGCGGGAATGGCTTATCTCTGCTTCAGTGTCTGGGGCCACAGCTGGAAGCTGCTTGAAAGGCTGGGGAGAGGCTAGGTGAGGTGGCTCCCACCTATAATCCCAGCACTTTGGGAGGCCAAGGTGGGAGGATCACGAGGTCAAGAGATCAAGACCATCCTGGCTAACACGGTGAAACCCCATCTCTACTAAAAATACAAAAATTAGCTTGGCGTGGTGGCAGGCACCTGTAGTCCCAGCTACTTGGGAGGCTGAGGAAGGAAGGAGAGAGAGAGAGACAGAGAGAGAGAGAGAAGAAAGAAAGAAAGAGAGAAAGAAAGAAAAGAAAGAGAAAGAAAAGAAAGAGGAAGGAAGGAAGGAAGGAAGGAAGGAAGGAAGGAAGGAAGGAAGGAAGGAAGGAAGGAAGGAAGGAAGGAAGGAAGGAAGGCAGGCAGGCAGGCAGGCAGGCAGGCAGGCTGGCTGCCTGGCTGGGGAGTGAGTGAGACAAGGGGCTGGATCAGCTGAGACTGGCAGATCCACTTCCAAAACGGCTTCTTTGCCAAGCTGCTGGCACTTAGGTGGGAAGGCTGGAAGGGTGGGCTCAGCTGGGACTGGCACCTAAGCACCTACATGTGGCCTCTCCACTATGGTGGCCTCAGGGTAATAGTCAGACTTCTTACAATGTTCTTGCAGCAAAAGCCACATGCTTTTATGACCTAGCCTCAGAAATCTTATAATGGACATTCATTTCACATTCTCTTTTGGTTGAAGTAGTCACAAGCCCACCCAGATTCAAGGGAAGGGGCTGTAGACCACACCTCTCCGTGGGAGGCATACCACGAAGGCCATGTTTTAAAATCACCACACTGGCGTTATTTCCTGATTCTAGATGAGAGATGGTAATTCGGTGGAGATTAAATGATTTGCCAAGGGATAGTAACTGGGATAGTTAGTGGGGAAGGGGGCTTAGGGGAGGAGAATGACTTTTACCATAATTCTGACTCTAAATTCTTGCTCTTTCAATTTGTATATATTATATCAGCTAACACACACTTGCTAATATGTAAAAGTTCAAAGAAAAAAAATCAACTGGTTTTGAGTATATTCAGTAACTTCCCTAAATAGAAACACAAATTTAAAAGAATAAGGTTTGCATTTATAAGTCCTTGCATAAAAACTTCATATTTTAAGGAGGTCCAGGGATGAGTGCAGTCCTGAGATTGGTCAGACGCAACTTTGTATCATTTTTCTCACAAAGAAAGATCTATGAAGATGTCCCCGATACTTAACTGTGATTTCATTTGTTCTCTAGGAAAATCTCATCTGGCCATTGTCCAGCGGGTGAATAATGAGGGAGAAGGAGACCCTTTCTATGAGGTGATGGGCATTGTCACACTGGAGGATATCATAGAGGAGATCATCAAGTCAGAGATCCTGGATGAAACGGATCTCTACAGTAAGTGCACAGCCTTGGCTGTTCCCAGGGTCATCTTATTTCCCTCTAAGACTCTCAGGTAAGGCCTTGTTTGATTTATAGAAAGGGTGTCAGGGCAAACTCTGTGCCCTGATGTGTGTCAGCCACTTATGCCAGGTGCTGCTGTGGCAAGATACCCTAGCTGGAATCACTTCTGAGTCACTGGGAACATGCTAGCTAAGTGTTTATCAGGAGGGAGGCTTCAGGAACTGAGCCAAGACTATGAAAAGGAGACCTCCCAGCCTTTGGGTAGAAAAGGGACTACAGGAAACACAGTGTTCCCAGGACGGTGCCCAGAGGCCTCTCTGCCCTTGTTTGTGTCCCCTGTGTTCTTGTTTGGTTGCTTCATCCACCTAGATGCAGACCCCAACAGGGGTTCCACTCACACCAGAACAGCAGTGAGCAGTGGAGACGGTCATGAGATTGCCTACTCACAACCTAAGCCAAAAACTGAATATTCCTTCTTACACACTTCCCTGTCCTCTTATGCCTTTCAGCCCACCACCCTGGGTTTCTGTTCTTTCCCTGCCACTAGAATCCCTGCTCTTGTCTCTGTTTCCTTCTTTCTGGTCTGCTCCCCATCCTAACTCCCTCACTCAGGAACAATATAGGCTTTTCTATGCAGATGTGAATACTTTGGGTTACTGAACCTTATCAAAACTTTGCTTGCAAACACTACAAAGGCATGCTTTGTCTCTAGGGTTGGAATGTTATCTAAGTCCATGGGAGTCCCTAGGCCAGGAATTGTTTCCTCCTCAGAATTTAATCTCATGGAATAGCCATCCTTTCCTTCCTTGCAGATAACTCATTTCAGACTTCGGTCCTTAGTTTGTGAGATGCGGCCTTTCAGAAACTGGCTCCTGGTAGAAAGAGCTTTGATGCCATAAGCTTTGATGCCACCTCTGCCTGCCACTCTTGATTTAGAATTCTCAGGTGTAGCCTGGGCAACATGGTGAAACCCCATCTCTACAAAAAATATAACAGTTAGCCAGGTGTGGTGGCGTATGCCTGTAGTCCCAGCTACTTGGGAGGCCAAGGTGGGAGGGATCCCTTGAGCCTGGGAGGTCCTGGCTGCAGACAGCTGAGATTGTACCACTGCATTCCACCATGGGAACCTGGGAGGACTGTCTCAAAAAAAAAAAAAAAAAAAATCCCGGATGTCTCAGATAAACTAGTGAAGCCATTCACGCTAAGGTGTTAGGTGCTGATAATAGTCTAAATGAGTAAACTCCCAGGGCACTTGTTTGAACAACATTAAGGCTTCAAGCACACACTATTAAAATCTAAGGAATGAAGGGGCGAGCAGAGGAATGATTCCCTAATGATGCCATTTTAAGTAGCAATCTGATGGGGGAGAGGGGGACTATTTAGGCAAACTTATACAAATCAGAAAGTTGCTCACCAGTGAGAGCGAGGCTGATAACCTGTGTTTACTACTCTTTTGCTGAGTGATCCTCTTTCTGTAGGAGCAGATTAGGGTAAATCAGCTGCTGGCATGATTCCTTAAGAGCTGTGAAAAGGCCCAGAAGCCAGGGATACTGTCTTTCTTCTTGCATGACCCTGACCTCAGGTGATCTGGACACCTGGGTCTAGGTCTGCCCACTGTGACTTGAGCAAAAGGAGTGTCAAAGCAGGGGCAGATGACTGCGAAGTCCCAGAGTCAGAGCAGGCCACGGAAGAGCTGCGCCAGCAGGAGGGCACGTTGTCCCTTCTAGAAGGAAACCCAAAAGCAAGCCCGAAAAGGAGAGAGGGCACACCAAGGAGCCAGATTCAGGGGCCTTATTTTCCTGCCACAAAGGTTCATTCTCACTGCAGCCACTCAGCTTGCACCAGATGTTACCCCCTGGCCCTATTTCCCTTTAGGCCAAGCTTGGAGAAAACCCAAATCCCTTTTCCTGTTCCCCTTAATGCAGATAAGATGGGCTAGCAGTTTCAAAATTTTACTCAAAACTCAGGGAAAACAAAAGAGAAAGAACCAAAGGAAACATTTCCTGTACCAAAAAGAGAAAGCAAAAAAAAGGGGGGGAAAGGTAGATATATTTAGATAAGCTTTAAAAAGAATGAGAACAAATTAAATTGGAAAAAGCAAAGTTTTTCAACCAATAATTACATGCCTGATGTATAGGCTCTTGGGAGGTACCAGACCCTGCCTGAGGCCCCCCACCCAGAAAACCCACCTTTAGAGATTATAGGTCCAATCTTATTTCTTCTCCTCTCTTCTTCCCTATATTTCCCCTGATTCCCTCCCAGTGGAGGGACTGGGGTTGAAGCAGGGAAATTGTGAGATAAGAGGTAGTGGCTGCCCTCTTCCCTTGTGTGGCATGCTTCAGGTACCACTCAGAGCATGGTTCAGATAAGCAGCAGGAGACTAGTTGAGGCCAGTTCAGGGGAAAGGAGGGGGACAGAGTCAGAAATTCCCTGGGCCCCTGCAACCCTCTCAATACTAAGAATGCAGGTCCCTTGTGTGTGTATGACTTTGTGTAAAAGCATTCTCACACGTAGCTTCCAGTTGGAGTCTCATAATTAACTGCACAAGATGAGTATGAGAGCTATATTAAATATTACTAGCCTCCTTGTACAGATTAAAATAAAAACTGATGCTTAGAGAGGTTGTATGGTGAGTAAGTAGTGGAACCAGCCCCAGAACCCCAGACTTGGGTACCCCAAGTCAGCTTTCCCCTTTTTCTACTATACACCCGCTAAGTGTGGAAAACACTGAAATGATGGCAGTCTCCCATTGTCTATCCCTCACCAACATCCTTCTACTTCCTGGGTGATACTGTGATGTCACCCATAGTTGACACTGCAGAAATGTTCTATCTGTCCCCTGTGATTCTGGGAAAACCTCCAAAGACCAACAGTGATTCTCAGATAGCTGCAATCTGTCCTCTGTGACCCCGCAGCTGACAATCGGAAAAAGCAGAGGGTCCCACACCGGGAGCGGAAGCGGCATGACTTCTCCTTGTTTAAGCTTTCGGACACAGACATGCGGGTGAAGATCTCACCACAGCTTCTGCTGGCCACACACCGCTTCATGGCCACAGGTAGGACAAGTCTCCACTCCGGAGAAGCTAAAACACAATCTCTAGGGTGGGACCCAGGCACCAATCCTTGTTAAAATCTTCCAGCCTGATTCCAGTATGCTGTCAGGACTGAGAAGCACTGTTCTAGGAAGGAGGTTGCCTTAGATAGGGTAATGGATGCCACCTACTGTCGTATTGAGCCCCAGGCCTGATCTTATAGAGGAAGAAATGAGTATAATTCAACTCTTCTACCAGAGAGAAGAGCTAAAGAAACCATTGCCGCACTTTTCCCTTTTCTACTCACTTCCTGGCTGAAGCCTGAGGCCATCTCCCTGTCTGTTAGACTTACGGTGCCCTAGAGCAATGCCATAGAAGCTATGAATTGCTTAAATACAGAAGTGGATTGTGAATCTTGGGATCTTTAGAAAGAAAAAAAAGTGAGAAAATCCAGAGATAAACTCCTTCTTGTGAAGAAGGTCAAGTTTGTCTTTGAACCCTCTGACCATCCATGCCTAATTATTGTACTGACCTAGAATGATCATATCTATCATGAAGTTCAATATTTAATTAATCCAGCACGTATTTATTGAGTGTATAATGAGCGCTAGCACTGTTTTAGGTGCTAAAGAGTAGAAAATTTTCAGTTGGAGCTGCTTTAAGATAGAATTTCTAGTTCTGAATACAGATTTCTTTTAACTACTTCCCAGAGCATATGTAATATAAGTAATATAAGTTTAACATATGTAATATAAGTAATAGCTGTAATATATAAATATGATGCAAGGATGCCTCATATTATTGACAACTTATTATTTAAATAATTGCCTGTCTCTAGTAACGTGGGATTTCATTTCATTCAGCAGATGTATGTCATACAAATAAGCCGGATTAAATTATCTGCATTTCATTCAATTATAGCATTAAAGTATTTGTTGTTTATGTGGCTTAGCTATCCATGTCCAATTTTAAATAAAATCAAAGAAAATTAGTAATGAAACAGACATTTCCAGATGGAGACCTGTTTCTCCTGAGGTGCCAGTGCAGGGACACACATCTCCAGAGGACATGGGTAAGGCCCTGAGATGCACACTTGGGATTAGGATTCTCCACTCCAAAGGAACTGCAGAAGCCCTGCCAGCCTGGTGCCCTGGTACATGCATAGGGGGCCCTCATTGTGCCCACTCTGACTCCTCCCAGCTGCCACTGCTGGAATGGGTGGGACACAGCTCATGCTGATTCCTCCCTACCCCCTCACTCTCCTCTAGAAGTGGAGCCCTTTAAGTCTCTGTACCTTTCGGAGAAGATCCTGCTCCGGCTCCTGAAACATCCCAACGTGATCCAGGAGCTGAAGTTTGATGAGAAGAACAAGAAGGCCCCGGAACACTACCTCTACCAGCGCAACCGCCCTGTGGACTACTTTGTGCTGCTTCTACAGGTGAGTAGGAAAGTCAGGGAACCTCTAAGGGCCAGATGAGGGCATCTCCAGGGTGAAGAAATGGCCATGCCTCCTTCAGCACCAAGTTCCGAGACTTAGCTGGCTGCCTCAGGAACAAAGCCAGCTGGGTGGACATTTCTTCATGACCCACAGGAGGGGGCTAGACACAGAAGACTGGTGTCCTGGGAGTGCTGGGATCTTTGACATTTAGTCTGACAACTCAGCAATGTTTGGGGTGGGGTGAATACCTCTCCAATAGGGCTTTTGCTTCTAAACTTCCAGAACTGCTGCTCTGCAGAAGCTATAATACCTCCTCATCTCTGCTTGAACATCCCCTGAAATGAAACTGCCCACTGCCTGCTGAACTTTAGACAACTCTTCTTTAAACCCTTCTCTCTGTCGAGTGGAAATCTCACCACCTCTGACTTCCTTACTGGTCCCTGCTCTGCTCTCTGGAGGTGCACGGGACACATTCATTCTCTCAGCTGCATTTCAGCCTTTGTAGTTCCTGGAATCTTCTCCCCCCTTAAGAGGACCAGGAAGGGGAAAAATGACCTGTTCAAAGAAGTGCAACATCTCCCCAGTGCTCACATAAGTATGATCACCTTCTGCTCTGGATACCTGAATAGGCCTGTCTTAAATAAGTGTCTGACATGATTACAGCTTGTAACACTGCTAGTGCCCTGTCTGGCTTCACCATTAGCTCTGTCACTGATTCCCTGTCCCTTCCCAGCATAACCTTGTGAATCCTAAATATGCTGATTGTGTTTTAGAATCTTAATTAAGCTCACATGAACTTAGAAATGGTCTCCTTGTTACAGTCCACTTCCAACCTCTCTGCTCTGTCACTGTAATTTGCCTCACATATCTTTCCAAATGGTCTGAACAAAATGACCTCTCTTCTCCAAAAAATGGAGTCATGTGCTTCACTGTTGGAAATCAACAAGAATCCTGTTACATTGTTTGTATAATGTAATGAGCACATAGTTTCATGTCTTGTACTGAATATAAATTTAACAGTTTTCAAATAAAACATGGAATAAAATGTAGTAGCAAGAGTGTGGGCTCAGAAATTTGAAAACTATGGCTTTAAAATCCCATTGTTGCCATCTCCTAACTAACCCTGACCAAGTTATTCAATCTCTGAGCCTCAAAATTGAGTCCCCAGTAAATCGGGGATAAAAATGGCATGGGCTTCATGGGGTTGTGGGGCTAATTGCATGAGAATCTATGCAGTGCACATAACACAGTGTCATGTCCATGCATGCTATGCATTACACGTCAGCTATCACTATTTTTGGCGATGAATTAAACAAGCTTCACACAGAATTAGATTTTATCTTTTTGTTTTTTTTTTTTTTTTTTGACATGGAGTCTTGCTGTGTCTCCCAGGCTGGAGTTCAGTGGCCCGATCTCAGTTCACTGCAAGCTCTGCCTCCCTGGTTCAAGCAATTCTCCTGCCTCAGCCTCCCGAGCAGCTAGGACTACAGGCTTGCACCACCACACCCAGCTAATTTTTATATATTTAGTAGAGATGGGGGTTTCACCATATTGGCCAGGCTGGTCTTGAACTCCTGACCTCATGATCCACCCGCCTTGGCCTCCCAAAGTGCTGAGATTAAGGCGTGAGCCACCACACCCGGCCTAGATTTTATCTTGACCTGACTTAGAAATGGTCCAGTCTTGGACTAAACCAGTGGGGCAGTTTATGAGGCCCTGGGTTAGCTGGTGCTTAGGCCTGCATCGTGGAAGGGCCGTTACAGTACGCAAGGACAGCTTGGTTATTCATGACTGGATGCTGTTTTATGAACAACGAAGCACCGAATTTACTGCAAAGAGCTACTAAAGTTGGAAGTGCTTTCTCAAATGTAAATCTGGAGAGAATTAACATTCCTCTGTGATAAGAACATGGGTCTAGTCCACTTGTTATCCAAGCAGAAATGCTTAGGGTTCTAGTCAATAGTAGAACTGGAAGTGCTCATATACATTCATAGTACACTTCCTTTTTTTTTTTTCCCAGGGTAAAGTGGAGGTGGAGGTTGGTAAGGAAGGCCTTCGCTTTGAGAATGGAGCCTTTACTTACTATGGCGTCCCAGCCATCATGACCACTGCTTGCTCAGGTATTCTAGTTTCCATTTGTTTATTGGGAAAGTAATGGGATATGGTAGAAAAAGCAGAGGGGTTCAAGTCTTGACTCCTCCTTTGACTCCTGTTAATCACCCTGGACAAGCCATTTAACTTCCTTGGCTTTAGTTCCTTCCTCTGCAAAATGGGTGTATGAATCACTTTTCATTCAGTTAGTGCTTAAAGAAAAGTGACAAAAATTGAATTGTAAAAAGCAGTAATATTGTCAAGTGTTAGGGATCTAGGGTGGTAGATTTCACTGTGAAAAGACGGGTTTATTTTGCTTTTTATACTGGTTCCCTACCCTTCCATTTAATTGCCTGGTTTTTACAGGGTTAATTGGTGCTGGGGGTGGATAGAAGAGGGAAGATTCCCATAAGAAGTGTGTTTTCTGAGGTGCCTCTGAAACCCACTGCATCCTTCTGTCCTTAGATAATGACGTGCGGAAGGTTGGAAGTCTGGCTGGATCTTCTGTCTTTCGTATGTATCTCTCAAACCCCTTCCTCGTCCTCCCCATCGTAGTCCTGCCTCAGCCCGCTCTGGGGACCTGGACCTGGGCTGGGGCTAAGACAAATGCTGGCAGCCTCTTTGTAATGTTCTGCCAGGAGCACTGCTTCCTGCCAGGTACCCACAGACCATGGGAGCTTAGGTTCTTGTGTCTGGAATGTCTTCTGCGGCTTGTCTGCTCACATGGTTGGGGGATGCAGGGGTTGGGAGGGGAGGCACTGCTTATTGCCACCTTCCAGGAAATGCAGGCAGGTGATTTGTGTGCTTGGGCAGAGGTTCAGCCCTTCCTTCTGTGCAATAACAATTCACTCATGGCCTTTACTCAGAAACTCTCATATGCTATTATTGTGTCTGTGGGGTTTGTCCGCAGTAAGAAGTGACTGCAAGATTTGGGGATGTAAGTTCCACCCTTGTGCAATACGCTGCTTATCTGCTTCTCTTTCCTGCTTCTCCACCTCTCAGCTAGTGGAGAGGTATCTGCCAGCTGGCCATGCATGCTGTTGGTGGGGGGCAGGCACAGGGCTGATGGCTGGTTTGCTCTGCCCCTTCTGTGCTGTGCCTTCTTGCTGTTTCCTGTGTAGTTATTGCACTTGTGTTTAAAGGGCATGGCATTTCTTATGATTAAAAGTGTGATCCAGAAAGAATTATTTCTCTACATTTCTTTCTGATTCACGGATCTGAATTTTGCTTTCAGCTGTCAGTGTTTACAGTGGCCACTTCAATGCCAAATAGGGTCTTTCCTCGCATCACAAAAAAGATTTTACGTATTCCCTTGTGGTGGGAATTGTCAGAGAGTCCCAGAGCTTGATATCATAGTCCCCGGAACATGACAAGGTAGATACCATTTTAACATGAGTGAAACTAAGGAAATGACTTGCTTCAAATCACCCAGTAAGTTGGTAACCGGCCAAGATGCTTCCTGGTGTCCTGGCTAGTTCACACAGCACGAGAAAATACAGGTTTCAGATCCATCATATTCTGGAATGCAATTTCTAAGTGAAAATAGTGGAACAATTTACAGTGTAATTGTTACAGTGTAATAGCCCAGCCAGTGGCTGAAATGAAGTACCTGTCCAGTCTGAAGAGTGGCAGAACTTGAGTTGGAGGAGATCTGTAAAATCGAAAAGACCCTGGTACATTATTATACTTAAGACAACGAATCTCAATCAAGGTTGATGAAGGAAGCATCGGTGCTCAGTAGAACTCTCGATGGGCAAGGGACGGGTTACAGGACGTTGGCAAACCTTAGTTCTCTAAAGGAAATTTCCATCATCCATCACATTAGGGACTACTCCTGGGATTCTAATATGTTACCTAGAAATGTCTGTGATCTCTTCCAGAAGACTGAAAGAGGTGGAAATTCGGAGAAAAAAAGGCCTACATATGGCTTCCTAGCCCAATGCTGTGGCCAGGCATGGTGGCTCTCACCTGTAATCCCAGCACTTTGGGAGGTCAAGGCAGGTGGATCACGAGGTCAGGAGTTCGAGACCATCCTGGCCAACACGGTGAAACCCCATCTCTACTAAAAATACAAAAATTAGCCAGGCATGGTAGCGCATGCCTTTGATCCCAGGTACTTGGGAGGCTGAGGCAGGTGAATCGCTTGAACTGGGGAGGTGGAGAATGCAGTGAGCCAAGATCATGCCACCTTACTCCAGCCTGGCTACAGAGCAAGATTCCATCCCTTCCTTCCTGTCTCTAGTTCTTTCTTTCAAAAGCTTTCAATGGCATCAGCGAGATAGAAATAAAGTTGCAACATTGATTTCTCCTTTAAAACTAGTTAACTGAAAAGAAGCATAACACTCTTTCTCTTTCTCTCCCCATGTTACTGAGCATCTCTGTAAATCTTCAGAAGGAAAAAGAAATATTATTAGCCAATAGGGGTAAAAAGACATTTTCCATCCTCCCGGAATCCATACTTAGTGTAGTGAAGTGTGAAGGAACTGCAAAGGCCAGCCATACCCCAGTTATCCCAGGTGAAGGCTCAGCCCATGGTCCAGCCACCCAGCATCTTTCATTGGCCAAGAACCTCAACCCTATAGGTTGAGGAAGAGCTTAAGTCTAAGCCAAAAGGCAATAAAATCTTACAGGGTCTTGGCCCAGCCCCCTCCCCCTATGCTTGAAGCTAGCTTGATCAGCCTTTGAGGATGAGGAGTGAGATTATGAGTTTGCTGGAAGACTGGCACGATGACCTATGCTTCAAAGTTGAACTTGAGGCTACAAAGAAGTCTCTGGCTTTCCTGTGTGAGGCGAAGGGAACACGATCTACACTGTCTTCTTCTTGGTTCTGATTGCCAGGAACCCAGGGTAGCTGGAATAGGTGCACACACAGGTGTGCAGATGTGGAAAGAACAGGTCTCCTTTCTGTTTGGTGTATACATTTATACATTGTATAATACATTGTATACAGTGTTTACAGTTTGGTGTATACAATGTATACAATTTGGTATATACATTTCTACATTTAGAACTATGATTCTTCTTGAGAATAGAGGGTTTCTTAACTCCATTGTGTCTCATAATATTGGAGGCCCATTCTAATATTCGTTAACATCTCATGTCAGAGTAAAGGATTATCAGGTAGGTCATTTCAAATAAAATCATTTGGTTTAGCAAATAAAACTGCAGAAGCTGTATTTCCATATGCTATCGTCTGCAGACTGGTTTCATTTAGCTCCTTAAAAAGGACTCTGGGAATGATCAGATAAGAGAAACGAAGACAGGTTCCCATGGGTCCCGTGGCCAGACACCACTTGAAGGGGGAGGGACTGGACTGTTACTACACACTCAACTCTACCCAGGCCCCCAAGTGATAGCCAGCAGCATTTCCAACTCTGTGGAGAAAGAGAAGGAAAAGGGAACAGAGAGATGCTTTGAACCACTGGTACTTACCACGAAGTGGCTATGATTTAATTCAGGTTGATTCACATTAACACTGCTAGAGATATTGTTCTGTAACCAGAGGGAGCTCCTAGGAGTCAGAGGCAGGATCCAGCTTCCTCAAGGATGCCCCTAGCAGGAGCACACGCTTTCCATTCAGGCCTCTGAGTACCCATGCAGGTGCCCTTGGCAGTTGAGCTCCGTGGGAGCTGGGAGAGCTTGGTGGGAATGCAGCGCTGGGCTCCCAGCATGTTTGCTGGCTCAAAATGGGAGCCTCAGAGAATGCTGCCTACATGCTTCCCACAGGGCTCGGCTTGTGCTTGTGCCTCTGATTCCAAGATGTGTTGCACATCTTTTCAGATGACTTTCAGCAAAATCCATTTTATTTTCTTGTCTTTCTGGAGAGTGACTTTGTAAGAGGATGTGATTTCTGTGTTTTCAGAGTCAAGATTCCTTTTTGCAGAGAAGTGTGATGTTGTGAAGATCCAGGAACAGACTGTCTCACCCACTTTGTTCTTTGTCTCTTTCCTTTTGTGTTTATATCTTCCCTTTTGCAACTCAAATCCTTGGCCCCTGACTCTTTAGTGCCCATCTCTGTGTCTCGTACCTTCGCTGTCAGCAGAGGGGACTCTCTGGCGGGCTCCCCAGGTAAACATGCATGGGTGTCTTGGGTCTCCGTAGATCCAGAGGGGTTTGCAAGAAGCCTTTGGCCTCTGTCACTTTCCTGCCTGAGAACTAATCTCTCCAACAGGCACTCTTGTGACTAAGGCATAGCACTTTGCACAAGCAGCACTCATTTGCACATACCACCCAGGCATTGCTGGTTCAGTGGTGTCATTTGTGAGCTTACCTCCCAGGAATGTATCTGTGTACACACATGGAAAAATGGTGGGGGTGAGGGATAGTGTGAGTTTTTCCTCATTTGTCTGACTACAGAATGGAGGGATGAGGAGGACAGCATGAATGAAATGGGAATAGTGGAATACTATGCTTTATTTCTACCTATTTTCTTTCTACCTTTCTTTCCTTCCATGTCCTAATCTTCCTAATAATGTTACTGTGTAATCATCATATTCTCACTAGCTCTGCTCATACAAAGAATGCTGTATGTAAAACTTTCAAAACAACTTTTCATTAGGTTTAACCTCTTTTGTTAATAAGTGAAATAGTCACTGGGTTTCTTTTTAATCGGGTAACAATTCCTCATAGAGCTAGATAATAATTGAATGACTGAGTAGAATGCAACAAATCTGAATGATCAACTGTTTGTTTTCATCTCTAGAGGTTGTTCTCTTGGGCTCATAGAGCAAGTAATGACTAAACCAGGAATGTATTTGTTAAATTGCCCTGCAGTTAGCACACAGTTCCATTTCCTCTACCCTCTAAATCTGTATCCCTTATCCCATTGCTGGGGTAATGCTACTAAGACCCCACCACATCCTCAGTCATCGAGAAATTGCTTATGTTTCTCAGTCTGTATAGTAGATCCTCGACATTTAAAAAAGGCGATGTTCTCCAATTTGCAACCTCAGTAGTATTTGTGTTGACTTCTGTTTTTTCCCAAAATCAAATTTTTTCATCAAAAACCATCTGGTCCTCATGTTGATCTATACAAGATAAGTTAACCACCTTCTCAAATTTCACTGACGTTTTCTCTCTCTCTCTCTCTCGATGGTGATTTTCCATTAAGAAATAGTTTTTCTTGCCTTGTGAGAGCTCATGCCTTAATGATGACTACAGGATCGGACAGTCAATGTGAGATACCAATCTGGTGCCCTCGCCAGCTAAATGGTCTACTCCTACATGCCAGCAAAATTAGAAATGACCACATGATGGACCTTCAAGTTCCTTCACATGCAGTGAATCTTGGTGATGTCAACAGTGTGCTGTGAAGGTTCAGAGGAAAGGGGAGATGCACATTTTAAAAGACTTTCAGCCCAAAAGATCAAAGCGAGGATGCGTTTTCCTTTTTAATTAACCTTCAGTTAACCAGATGACCTAGTTAATTGTAACTTCCCAGTTAAAGGAAGGTTAATTCTAGTTCATCTGCATTGATTATGATAAAGTTCATGATAACCCAATGTCAGACAGAGATGAAAGTGATACCTTCCTGCTGTGCAGAACCTCCAGGAAGTGCTGAGACTTCTGATCCAACTCTGGGTGCTGTCACGTGCCCCTGAGAGTATTTTCAACTTTCCCCCCTTTTCCATGACTGTGGGTATTCAACACAACAAGAGATTAGTGTCAACACAATGCAAACCCTACTCATAAAGAGGTAAGCTTATTCCCATCCTTGGTTTAACTGTGCAGGGTGGAGCAATGGTCCGTACAGTGGGAGAAAACCAGAGGTAGGGAGTGCCTAGCTTCTCCTTTGGCTTATTCCGCTCCACCTTATGTCTGGTCTCTATCTAGAGCTAATCACTGTGCCTTCCCAGTGATCAGGTGACATCCACAGGACCTATTCTGTGATATTTCCTCTGTCATTCTTGCTTTTGTTCCATATCATTAAAAGAAGCAGCCTCAGAGGTCTGGGATTTTGTAGAAAGAAGTTCCAGTAACTTCTGGCCCTGTAAGCACAGAGACTTTGGAACCAGGGGTTCTTATTCAGTGCTCGACTGTCCGTTCATAATGTGCATTGAGATCAACAATGATGCCATTTTCTCCTAGAATATGCCAAAGTACCTTAAAAAAATCTTTTTACTTTGCAAAATGTCCTGAGTGGAAATACTGATTTCTGATCCAGATACATTAATTTACATATATGCTAAATCTCAACCCTATCTTATATGGGGAAAAAATAAATCCTAGAAACCAGTAGGGTCTTTAGGTCTAAAAAAGAACTGTCATTGTCTTATTTGACTCCCCACAATCACTTTGGGAGATAGGCAGGAATTGTCATTGAAAAACAATAGACAAAAAAACAGGCTCTGAGAAAGTCAGTCAGTGTTGTATGTGTAGTAGGTATGTAGAGGGACAAGGACTGGAATCTAAGTCTTAGATCGTGCTCTCCACCTACTGCCTGAGACCTTGCTTTACCTCTGAATATAGACATTTTGTGCCCTCTAGAGGGCTGTGATTTATTTGCATTTTGAAAGCAGTGCTAATAACAAATCTGGTGCTCACACTAGATTGAGGCCAGAGGTCTCTGCACCAAATATTGCCATCATTATCCATGGGGAGTCTCTTTCTATTTGAGCCTTAGTTTGAAATAAGAGCACAGTGGTTTGCAGATTACCTCCAGGGTGTGGTGTGGTTAACCAACTTGGCAGGTGCTTTCATTTAAAAATGAAACTTCTGATCAGGGGTTTCCCCTGAAAGTACACAGCCCCACTGCAGTTATCATTCCCTTTCCCCACATTCGCTCCTTCTTTCTTCTCCTGGTGGTGGAGATAATTTTGAATTCCCCATGACAGTTCTTTCAAATCCACAAAAGCACAGAGACAGAGACTTTGGAACCAAGGGTTCTTTTCAGTGCTCAGTTATCCATTCATAATGTGCACTGAGATCAATAATGACAGTTTTCTCCTCAAATATACAGGGAATCTCTAAAAATAATATTTCTACTTTGCAAAATGTGGTAAGTGGAAATAATCCTTCAGGTCGGCTCTTGTGTGATGAGCATTTGGGAACCGTTAAAGCTCCGTGTAAAGTGAGTGAGTTCATCTGGGATCCTAACTTGGGCTCAGAGTTCACACTGTAGTTTTGACAGACAGCTGGCTTTGGTGTTTGGTTGTCTGATGCTAAATGTTGCCCCAGTATAACGAATTTTAATAATGCTAGTTTGTACTCTTACAGGTCTATGTAATTAAGCTTCCTGATCCATTTTGGAGAACAGAGATGGCCCATGGCACAATCACAGTCAGACCAAAGTAGGCCATTCCCCCTCATCCCTCACTGATGCTACAAAAGATGTAGGCAGGCAGCCCCTGAACCCTCCTTTTTCCTCAAATCCCCATAAGGAAAATGGGAGCTTAGCATTCTACTTCTGTATCTTGGGGTCTGCTTCCAGGATAGGGTTGTGAAGGCTCCCTGGATACAGGTGTCACAAATGAAGCAAGAGTCCCAGAGCTGCTGCGTCCAGATTTTCAGGGCGCCTGACTATGACTGCGGAAGGAGAGGAGATTCCATCCAGCCCCAACTCAGTGTGAATTCCTCTTCCATACCCTTTGCCACCCTGCCCCCGATTTTACCCTGGTGCCTTCTCCACCCAAACCTCAGCAATCCAAGTAGCCAACCCAGGACAGGTATCTCTTACAGACTGACCACTCAAAGGCTACAGGAATGAGGTTTGTCACAATTTCATAGAGCAAAAAACCCTGCTCCTCATCACCCAGTTACACCTGAGCCAACCTGAGGGTCTGATGCAAGAGCAAGAGTGGGCAAGGGATGGGTTGGTGGCGTAGCCTGCCGCCTGTTGACAGGTCCCGTGGTCGGTGTTACGTATCACTGTTTGATCTGTCTCCTTCCAGACCTCCTTGCACTATACTTAGGATTTTCCTCCTTGCTTCACTCCCCCAAACTGTGCCTCTGTGCTTTTAGGATATGCCAAGGGGAATTACACAACTTGAACTAGTTTGCCATGCTGCTAGGACACTCGTCTGTTACTGATTTCTTCTGCTTTTTATTAAAAGCATTTCCATGTCCCTTGCTCAGAAACTTCTGAGTGTATGTGCACAATTACCAAAATGCCAAGTCATCAGCATCCCACCTATTGAGGAATGTCAGACTCCAGGACACGAAAACATTGATCTCGCACAATACCCAGAGGAGCTGGGACTTTCTCATGGAGTAAAGGTTCTTTTTCCTTTTAAAAATTGCTTTTATAGACTCAATCTTTGTAAGACAGTTGTATCGTTTGGTGTTGGGAATCCTGTATGATTTTATAAATAAACTTTCAATAGCATTGTTTTTACTTTAAAAAAAAAAAAAAGACGTGTTTTTCCTCCTCCCAGCATAACAGTGATGTAGCTTGTGTTTGACATGTGAGTCCCTGTGGGTGTCACCCACACTGGGTGCCAGTGAAACGATGAGAGCTTTGGGGGGAACTGGGATGTAGTTGTTGCCTCTGTCTCCAACAGGAGAAGCTTCCACAGATGGAAGGAGTTTAGGAGATAAAATAGGGCTCTTTCCCTGCTGTCCTACCTGAACATATCTTGAACTGTGACGTAAGAAATGAGGATGTGGAACAACTGGTGTAGGGTGTGTGAAGCCCATGTCTGGCCAGGCAAAGTGGAGGATTATTGAGAAATGGTGGTGATTCTCTGGGCAGCTGAAGCCATAAGCCCTGCTCACACTTTCTTCCCTTGGTTATGTCCAAACTGAGTTGAGGTCAAAACCCACCAGGTCAAGGTATGGTTTTCCAGATGCTGCACTGGGGCCAAAGGAGCTACTCGTGGGCAGGACTCCCTGTCCCGCTTTTCTGCAGCAACTATCCTGGAGGAAAGAACGCAGACTTATCCAGCCGCCACCCTGAAACAGCCACAGATGGGTCTGGCAAAGTCAGAACTCATCAATTTGTCCTTTTTTATTTTCTTTTTTTTTTTTTTTAATAGATTTAGGGGATACAAGTGCATTTTTGTTACACAGATATATTGCATAGTGGTGAAGTCTGAGCTTTTAGTGTGGCCATCACCCCAATAGTATACATTGTACTCATTAAGTAATTTCTATCCCTCACCTTCTCCTGCCCTTCTGGGTCTTCAATGTCGATTATTTCTCTGTGTCCACTTGTACATATTATTTAGCTCCCACTTACAAGAGAAATAATGCAGCCTTTGACTTTCTGGGTTATTTCACTTAAGATAATGGCCTCTATTTCCATCCATGTTGCTGCAAAAGACATGATTTCGTTCTTTTTATGGCTGAATAATATTTCATTGTGTGTACACACACACACACACACACGTATGTACAAAATCACATTTTCTTTATCCAGTCATCCATTGATGGACACTTGGGTTGATTCTGTATCTTTGCTATTGTGAATAGTGTTGCAATAAACATACATGTACAGGTATCTTTTTTACATAATTTCTTTTCCTTTGGGTAGATACCCAGCCGTGGGATTGCTGGCTTGAATGGTAGTTCTATTTTTAAGAATTCGTCAGTTTGTTTTCAAGGGCTCAGGCCCGGAAGTGAAATGTACCTTTTTCTATCCAACACTACTGCTTTTTACAATCACCTTGGTGCTGCATGTTGTTCTCTACAGCACTATCGCTGTCCCTGTCCCTGTCAGTTCTTAGTCGCTCTGGAGAAGGATCTGGTCCCTCATCACACAGTGGATGGGTAGGGCCCTAGGCATCTGACTTCAGGGCCCGCTGTTTCACATACCCTTATTAAACAGCCTTTCTGCTCCATGTGGCCTCTTCCTCAAGTTACTGGGCCAAGGCCTGAGACTTCTTGGTGCCCTTTGATTCTAGTTGCACACTATTTTACTCTATCCAGCCACATTTCTGGAGGGTCCTGCTCCCCACCCTCGCTTCTTGGGGAAGTCAGCTTCCCCAGAATGACTTTAGGTTTGTGATGATTTAAGAGCTTTGGTGACTTTAAGAGCTTTAGTTTGATGATTTAAGAGCTTTAATGACTTTAGCTTTGTGATGATTTAAGATCTCTGAAACCTTTTTTTACAACAAATTTAGATCATAAACTATAAGAGTCATTGTATTGCCCTGTGGGACCCTGACGTGCTGATTCATTTATTCTACACATTTTCCTTGAGTACCTTCTCTAGGCCAGGCACGGTGCTAGGTGCTGCGCGTACAATGAGGATAACCAGAGAAGACGACGTCTCTGCCCTCGTGGAATTAAAAGTTGAATTAAGTAGATGTAACAAGTAGTTACTAATATGTAATTAATGCTTGTGAAAGTGCTTTGAAAGGATGGACAGGGGATCATGATAGAGTAGAACAGGAGGAATCTTCCTACGATGACCAGACAAGGTCTTCAGAGAAGGTGGTGCCTCAGCTGAGAGCTAATGACTGAGGAGCAGACAGCCATTAGCTGAGGGGGGAGGATGTGGGGTGGGGAGGGGAAATGGGCATTCATTGAGGTGGGCAAAGCCTGCATGGTTAAGAACACCCAAGGAGGCCAGTGGCTAAAGCAAAGCAAGAGAGGGGAAAGGAGGCCCCAAGATAAGATCAGATAGGAAAGCAGGGAACAGGTCACGGCAAGGAATTTGGATTTTATTCAGACACAATAGGAAGCTGATTTGTGTTTTAAAAATGCGATTCTGGCAGCTGAGGTGAAAACAGATTATAAGATAGTAAGTGGGGAGAGTGTGGTCCAGGTGAGGCTGAGGTAGCTGGGATTTGAGTGGAGACAGAGATAGGACCGATGGGCTCATTATGTCAGATGGATAGCGAGGCTCCATGGGGGGCAGGAGTCAAGGACAATCCCGGGGTTTCTGGTTTCAGCAACTGCATGTAAGTGGATGACACTTACTGAGAAGGGGAAGACTGGAAGTGGACTCCTTAATTCTCTAATCAGATCAAGGCAGTGATGATTAGGGTTCTAATGAGAAAATGATTCAACCTATCGTTTTACTCTTTCTGCTGCATGGTTTGCCAGGCAACAGCTTGGCAGCTAAATAGATCATCAACTTTCCATGACTCATTCCAAATAGATGCTAATCAAATATTTTGCTTTATCTCAAGAGACAGGATTAAATTCCCAAGGTTCTACCCTGAAAGAGCAGAATCTATAAATAATCTGATTCTTCATTTGAGCCCCCTGAGCTAAATCTGTGTTAAGAGAAGCTGACAGCCTCCTCATCCCCTTTTTTGGAAGAAGCAGAAGGATTGGGGGAGCTTTGCAGTCTACCACTTGGGGCGGTTCCATGGTTGAGATGATGTTGGAGTTACCTTTGGTATCCTCTTTTCTGTTGTTCCTGGAGAGGGCAGCTCACATAAAACCAAATGACGCGGTCTCAATCGAATGTTTCCAAGAAGTGTTTCTTAAAAATGTGAAAAGAACCTGGCTAAAGCATTCAGGAGATCTTTGACAGAAGGCCTGCAAATTATCCCAGTGCTCCCCTCAGGCCTATGCAAGAGGGAGCCCAGCCCTAGACCCACACCTTGGCCCTTCTCAGTCCAGCCCATCTATATGGGGCAAGGAGTTCTCAGGGCCAAAGGGAGGTGCTGAGCCAAAGCCTGTGTCCTCCCTTCTAAACCACATTTCAGATATCCAGAATCCTGGAATCCCCACCCAAACAGTCCTAGGGGACCAGGGGTCCAGAAGCCCTAGGGGCAGGGCTGGCTATCCACCCACGGCTCTGTTTTCTGGCATGGTTGCTACGAACATTTGTCAAGGAAGAGGATAAGCCTGTTTTTACCATTTATTAATGTAACTTCTAACTTAAAAATATTTATCCTTGTGGTTTGTGGGCTTCCGTTTGTCCCAGGCCCTGCCAATGTGGGAGCAGGCCTGACTTCTTCCCACTATAATGTAAGGCCACATGAAGATTGGTTGCCTGTGCTGTGACAGATGGTTTTGAGGGCAAACCCAAGGCCTTGGCCTTTCTAAAGTAAGTTTTGTGATTGGAGTTGATGTAAAATACCTCACCATGGTAGAGGGGCTCATGGTCTAGGGTAGCAAGCCACGCTTATAGTACCGACATCATCTCGTGCAGGGTCCTTGTGCACCTAATCTGAAGACAAGAACCAAGGAAGATGTGAACCACCCATCCCCCGTCTGGGGGAAACAGATGCTCCAGCTCCTCACTGGGAGAGGTTGTGGGGAGCAGCCCGAGTGGAAGGGAGCCATGAGTTTGTCTTAGGCATTTGTTCCTCAAAGGAATAAACATCAACAAAGCAGCTCAGCAGCTTCCCAGGCTCTGATGGGAAGGGTGAGCCCCGTCACCACCACCCAGTGTTACCATTGCCTGAAAGTTGTATGGGACCTCAGTAAACAACATCTGTCTCCCCCTCCTTCCCTGTCTCCCTCCCTCCCTTCCACCTCTTCCTCCCCACCCATCCCTCCTTGTCTTTTCTCCATCTCTCACCATCTGCAGTAAACCGGTCCCCTTCTCGCTGCAGTGGGTTGAATCGCTCTGAGTCTCCAAACCGAGAGCGCAGTGACTTTGGGGGCAGCAACACACAGTTGTACAGCAGCAACAACAACCTCTACACGCCCGACTACTCAGTCCACATCCTCAGCGATGTGCAGTTTGTGAAGGTAACTCTCCCAGGAAGGTTATCCTCTCCCTCCCAGTGGGCAGCATTGGCTGGGTGACTGGGACAAGAAGACTTCCCCTGTGTTCCAGTACACTGCTGGGTGGTAACTGCTACTGGCTGTATAAAGGCTGTTTTCAGTCAGCTTTAGGACTGTTCATTATTTGTCACTCTTTTGACATCTCCTGGCCCCCTTTTATCATGTGGGGAAATGAGACACAAAGCAATAGGTTAGCTTGTCTGACACAAGTTGCTGCCAGAATCATTTCCTTTGGATCCCCTACCATTGGCATCAGTTTGATTTTATTCATTGGTTTTTCTAAGATAAGATTTTTCTAAGATAAGTTTGCAGGTGATGAATAAACCAAGTGATGTATAGAAGAAACCATGCTATACATCTGCCTGTCTGTTGGTTAAAAAGAAGGAACCATGCTATACTTTTACATATGATAATATATTTTTATACCTTAAAGTCTAAAATACAACTTGACCTGTGTGTTAACTGAAAATCTTTTGTAGTCACTAATAGGACTGCTTGAAAATTACTAAGCTATTTGAAGAGAACCATGTGCAATTGCCCAGGAGAGAGGTAGCAAGGCTCATGGCCTCATAATTAAAGAGGAGGGGAGCTGTTTCTTCATACCCCTCACTGGGATTGGCATCGCACAGGAGCCTTTAACATTTTCCCCTTTTCTTGTTTCTGTAGGTGTTTTTTCTTGTTGTTTTGGTTTGGTTTTTTTTTGGTTTTGTTTTTTTTTTGACAGAATCTTGCTCTGTTGCCCAGGCTGGAGTGCAGTGACATGATCTCGGCCCACTGCAACCTCCCGCTCCGTGGTTTAAGCAATTCTCCTGCCTCAGCCTCCCAAGTAGCTGGGACTACAGGTGCCCGCCACCATGCCCAGCTAATTTTTGTATTTTTAGTAGAGACAGGGTTTCACCATGTTGATCAGGTTGGTCTCTATCTCTTGACTTCATGATCCGCCCGCCTCAGCCTCCCAAAGTGCTGGGATTACAGGTGTGAGCCACCGCGCCCGGCCTGTTTTGTTTCCTAGTATTCTGCAAACCATTACAAACTTTGGCCTGAGATCTAGCTAGAGCCCCGTTTATCCCAGGCCAACAAAACACCCAGTGAGTTCACTTGGTAGCTGTTGTACCAGTTGCAGGCTGGGTCATGAGAGGTGCACTGAAATCACTAGGGTGTAAGAAGGTCCTTCTTTCCAGAACACACGCCTTGATTATTTGGAGAGGGGTGTGTGCTGGCTGGTTTTCTGTGTTTCAGGACTTTGTGGACAGCCCTGAGTTAAAACTGATATCAGCCTATAAAAGTAACCTTGAAAAGTAACCATGGAATGTTTCCAGAGGGAGGAATAGAACCTGGGGGATCGGGTGAGACAATAACTATTTTTTGCAGTAAACTGTGCAAGGCACTTTACTGAGTCCTTTGTCTGAATTATCCATTTAATCTCACAGTCACCCTATGAGGTAGGTGTTGCTGTCATTCCCATTTTCTAGATGAAGAGTTGCGGTTTGAGGAGTATAAGGTCACATGGCTAGTAAATGGCACAGCCAAGCTTCAAAGTTGGGTCTTTCCGCCTCCAGAATCCAAGCCCTAAAGTCAGTGGGCTTTAGAGTGAGTGATAGGACATCGGAGCTAAAGGAACCCAGGGAAGTGCCTTTACGAGCTGACTGGGCAATGCTCATGGGTGCATATGACTGTGGACACTTAAGTCTAATGTGACAAGGAAGTTAAACCTTAGAAAACCATAGCCCACAATTCTGCTTCTCATAGCTTCCAGCCCTGAATTTTTCTCATTGCTAATGCAGACCTTCCCCAGAAGGGGAGGTAGGGAAAAAAGTGGGAAAAGAAGAACTCTAATATGTTAAGTCTGGTTGGTTGTCGTGTTGGACATGTGATCTGTGAGGAAAGAAATGGAAAGTCATAATACGAGTACGTGATTCAACAAATATTTAATGGAGGCCTGCTGTGTTCTTGGCACTGTTGAGATACTGTGGTGAAGACAGCAAGCTGCTGCCTTTCGGGAGCTTACAGGCTAATGGGGGAGAAAGACGATAACCATACACATAACCTAGGTAATTTCAGGTAGTAATAAGGGCTGTGAAGGGAATAAAGAGGTCATTGGGATCAGTGATTGGGCAGAGAAGGCAAGGAGACTGCTCTTGAAATGGTTATCAGATAGGCTGAGGAAGGACAATTTTGCTGAGACTTGAAAGGGGAGGGGGAGAATGTTCAAGATAGAAACAACAGAGGCTGGAAAGAGTTTGGTAGTTTAAAGCTCTGAGTGCCGGCCCACGGTGTGCAAAGGCAGAGGCTCCATGAGAATGTAACATCAGAGGTGGACACCTGGAATCTTTAGGCCAGAGTAAGGAATTTGGATTCTATTTTAAGTGTGGTGGGATTTTTATTTTGTCTATTTATTTATTTATTTATTTATTTTGTAGAGACAGGGCTCTAACTCCAAACTCTTGGCCTCCAGCAATCCTCCCACCTCAGCCTCCCAAAGTGATGTGATTACAGGCATGAGCCATGGCACTCAGCCAGAATTTTTATGTTTGTTTCTCTTTTCATTTATGTTAGTCCATTTTGGCCACTGTAACAAATGACCATGAACTGTGTGGCTTGAACAGATATTTATTTCTCACCATTCTGGAGGCTGGGGAGTCCAAGGTGCCCACAGATTCAGCATTTGATGAAGGCTCACTACCTAGTTTTCAGATTACCTCTCATTGTATTCTCTCATGGTGGAGAGCAAAGAAAGGAAGTAAACTCTCTCCTTTTTTTTTTTTTTTTTTTTTTTTAAAATTGAGACAGGGTCTCACCATGTTGACCAGGCTGGTCTTAAACTCTTGGCCTCAAGTGATACTCCCACCTTGGCCTCCCAAAGTGCTGGCAAGCTCTCTTCTCATAAGGGCACTAATCCCATTCATGAGGAATTCACCCTTATATCCTAATCACCTCCCAGAGGCCCCACCTGCTAATACCACCACATTGGGGTTAGGGTTTCAACATATGAATATTGAAGGGACACAAACATTCAGTCCATAACCGTTCATATCAGAAGTTGAGAAAATCAGTATGAAGATTTGGTTTGCTGCTTGGAGTAGAAAAGTGAAGGAGATTTTGAAGAGTCATGTTCAATGGGCAAAACATCATTAGGCTTTACAGATTGGACAGTACTTTCAGGTGATGGATTTGGCAGCTCCTCAGGGGAATGTGCTAAGATGATTACCTAGCATTAAGTTTGTAAGGATTTTCTTAAAACTTGCCGATGGGCTGGGCATGGTGGCTCACGCCTGTAATCCCAGCACTTTGGGAGGCCGAGGTGGGTGGATCACCTGATGTCAGGAGTTCATGACCAGCCTGGCCAACATGGCAAAACCCCATCTCTACTAAAAATACAAAAATTAGCCAGGCATGTTGGCAGGCATCTGTAATCCCAGCTACTCGGGAGGCGGAGGCAGGAGAATCACTTGATCCTGGGAAGCAGAGATGGCAGTGAGCCAAGATCACGCCACTGTACTCCAGCCTGGGCGACAGAGGGAGACTCTGTCTCAAAAACAAAAACAAAAACAAAACTTGCCAATGATCTCATATCTCCAACCCTAGAACATAAGGAAAAGGAACATTCTGCAAATCACAAGGAACATAAAAGTCTGTTTCCTAATGTGAGATAGTGGCAGTGTTGAGAATGCCAAATCCCAGGTCAATTCTCGGGTGTGTCTGTCCTTTTTGTCCAAACAGAAGACTTTGCTGTGATCAGTGCAACTGAGCAGCACAGAACTTGGTCTTTCTTTCCATCTGGATATTTTGAAGTTAAGACTAAATTTCAAAAGTAGAGAAGTTGAGAGGAAAGTGGAAACCAATTAAGTGTTATTCAACTGGGTGTAGTGGCTCACACCTGTAATCCCAGCACTTTGGGAAGCTGAGGTAGGCAGATCACCTGAGGTTAGGAGTTTCAGACCAGCCTGGCCAACATGGTGAAACCCTGTCTCTACTAAAAATACAAGAAAAAATAGCCAGGCGTGGTGGTGGACATCTGTAATCTCAGCTGTTCAGGAGGCTGAGGCAGGAGAATCGCTTCAACCCAGGACACGGAGGTTGTAGTGAGCCGAGGTGACGCCAATGTACTCCACCTGAGTGACAAGAGTGAGAGTCTGTCTTCAAAAAAAAAAAAGTGTTATTCAAAAACCTCTTTAGGCCAGGCACAGTGGCTCACACCTGTAATCCCAGCACTTTGGGAGGCTGAGGCAGGGAGATCACTTGAGGTCAGGAGTTGAAGACCAGCCTGGTCAACATGGCGAAACCCCATCTCTACTAAAAATATAAAAATTACCCAGGCATGGTGGCGGGCACCTGTAATCCCAGCCACTCGGGAGGCTGAGGCAGGATGATTGCTTGAACCCGGGAGGCAGAGGTTGCGGTGAGCCAAGATCGGCGCCATTGCACTCCAACCTGGGCAACAAGAGCGAAACTCCGTCTCAAAAAAAAACTTTGATTAAAATGGGTAGTTCTCCAAAAAGGAATTCTGTGAGTTCAAACTCTTGTTTTAACACAAGTGTCTTTTTTGTCTTGATTTTCTCTTTTCTTTTTTTTAATGTAAAATTCTACCTTAGATTAACATTGAAAATTACCTCCCCCTGATTGATTAGACTGTGTTAGGGATGTTATTTAGGCTGCTCATTTATCTACCTCCCTCACCCGTCTCTCCCCGTTTCCTTTTGTTGTTACTGTGTTTTTTAACATGAGGGTTTGTGGGGAAGCTAAAGAGAAGACTGCAATATAAGTGTTTTCACAGGTCAAAGTCCCTGTGGTTGGCTGCTGGAAGGTTTTGCAAGGGCTTTTTATATCCAGCAGACTGAAGGTCCAGGAGTAATTGAACTTCAAGATAAGCTACAAAGTGGGATAGAAAGGTGCATCTAATAGTTATCTGGGAAAGGTGTTAAACAAAGCCATGATTAATAGTAGTTAATAAGTTATGAAGGTAC